AATATAAGTGAAAAGTTCTTGATTTTCAATTATGATTTTTTTTCACATATATGCTTATATAAAAAGACAAGGATGCATTTTATGAAATGAACTAATGCTATTGTGAAGCTATTAAAAATAATATAAAATGAAAATGCAAGAATAGTGTAATGTAACATGTTTTTGCATTTTTTAATACTAAAATCATGCAACAGAAAATGAAAAAAGGGGGAAGGGAAAGGAAAAGGATAGGGCTAACTTAGGGACTGATTCCAAACGAGGGAGAGGTTTTGGGTTTGTCTCTGGTGACAAAGAGGATAACAATGCTCTTGATTGTGGTATTATAGCTAGTATTCAATTCAGAATCTGGTGAGAATAACAAGTTGTTTATGAAACCCTAGAAATTTTATAATTTAAATATGTAGATATATAACCTATCATATAAATGTTAGGCTGAAAGTGATATATAATAGAGGGGATGACCGCTCTAAAATGAATTTTGTTTTAGAATCCATAAAGATAGAGAAACTAGTAACGTGTTTTGATGAATACAATAATGAGAGAAATGAAAAAATATTTCTGAGAAATAAGAGAGGTAATAAAGAATACATTATAGCAAATGATAATTCAATAAAAATGGAAGGTGCAAGTATCAATTAAAAATCAGTGATAATTCAATAGAATACATTAATGCAAGTATCAATTAAAAATCAGTGACGTTACTTTGAAATAATAATAATACCCGATAAATAAATAAAGATAGAAATTTTAAAATGAGTATATTCCAAAATAATAAAATGATCTTAAAGGTTTAAAAGGATAATTGATATTATTTTTATGTGAAGATTGAACAAGAAAATTTGGATCATTGATAAAAAGTCAAGAATTGACTAATTTTACATTAAAAAGTAGAGCTCTCAATCCAATCGTTAGATTGAAATGAAATTTTACATGAAATCTATTAATATGTTTTCCTATCTCATCCTAATAGAAGGTTGGCAAAGACTAGTGATTTAAGTAGAAATAAACAGGATAGTTTACATGAAAAATAAAATAAAATAAATAAATATAATTAGGGGAAAATATGCCTTTAAAATAGCAAAGGTCACTGATTTGGCTAGAGAGAGGTGTAGAATTTATTTGAACTTGAAAACAACCTTTTTGAATATTGGACTCTGTATGAAAGTTTTAGGTCTATGTTTTAACTTTCTATCCATATAGAGCAAATCTTAATCCAAGTTCTAGAGCTCCAGTTATGATTCAATAACCAAATGGTGTTGTAGTTTGGACTAAACCAACATCTCTTTTCTAATCTTAGTCATCTCTTTATCTTTTCAATTTCAGTAGTTAAACTCATCAATCAAACTCTTGAATTATGTGATAAACCTGCATTTAAGATGAATATTTACCATAAATTAAAAGTATCTTATATTATTAGATATATTATTATAAAACATGCTCTAATTAAGAAATTATTGATAATTCAAGTGAAAAATAATGATATAAAACCTTAATAAAAATATACTTTTAAGTACTAATTACCTTACAATCATGGATGCCTATTACATGCTAGGAATGTTCTTCTCGTTTTAATCATTTTGCTCACAATCACAGACCTAAAATTTTTAAGCATTAAAAAAATATATATAGGTTACGAGTAACTTTTTGACATTGTTAATAAACCTAGTCTAGCAAGTCAAACTTGAAAACTCTCGAACTCCCTAAACTATCTTATATTTAATAATACAAAAAAGAAAACATTTGTAAAACCTAAAAATAACCTAATATCAAAATGTTTAGTAAATTGTAATCGTTGTTTCCTAAACAAAAATTCATTATGATCTTAAAAGTAAATTTAAAATATCATAATATTTTGTATGTGGTTAAAGAAAAAAATTGATAAATGTCATAAAATTATATAAAAAAATGTAATAAAAATCTTAAAGAACATAAACTTTATGTTAATTAAATATTCATGATATTTTTTTCATATTAGTTAAAAAACAAAGTTTAAATTTCCATAAAAACCTATAATATTATTTGTGAAAGATGACAAGATTGAATAATAACTTTTTTTATAGTGCATTTAAATCTAAACTAAAAAAAATTTAAAAAGCAAAAAAAAAAAAAAAAACCATGCGTATGAGCCTGACCTACATGACTGAATTTATTGGGACTATAAAAAACAAAGTTCAACTGTGAGCCTCTCATCGAAGAGCCACATCAAGACTTTATTTGTTTTATATTTTTATAGAAAAAACAAGCAAACAACGTCATCATCTTTCTAGAATCCAGCAAATATGGAGGTGGATGAAAAATAAAAGATTATAATTTTTGTTATTTAAAATTCCATTTTCAATCATTTTTTACTTGGAAAAAAAAGCTAAAAAAGCTCCTTAAATACCTAAACAAACCCATTTATAGCATCAAACAACCTAAAATTGAATTGATAAATTGAAAATCAAAACTGAAGTTGAGAAAAACTTCTCTGGCCTAGATCTACCATATCATGTAAGGGGAAGCATAAAAAATACCATAACGAAACTCCTTTCATAGAAAAAAAAACCCTTTGACACTTAGATCAATCTTTTTTTATGAACATAATTGGTGTCAATCGATCATTTTCTCTGTCCTCATCATTTCAGGCAAGTTTTTTTTCTCAATTCATGAATTGAAAAAAAAAAATTTAAACCAAAATAAAATTATTGTCAACGTGGGGTTATGAATAAAATTTCAATGTTTTAAATTTTAGTCTCCTATCTCTAGATGTTGTATCTTTATCATTATTGCAAGTCGAATGTCTTGTAATTAGTCTATAGAAGGGCTTGATTAAAAAGAATAGAAAAGGTTAGGGAAAAACAAAACAAATATGATGTGTTAGGTTTTCTATTCATATGAACAATGAACCTATCACCTCATGTCTTTAGATTTTTAGTACTAGATCATTGCTCGTGTTATGCTACGGGTCAGATTAATTTTTTTTTGGACATAAAAAATTCTCAGGTGTTATTAATGTGTTTTTTAATATAAAAAATTTAAACTATACGAGAATTAACCTGATACGACCCAATCAACTTGACAAGTTCAAAAACAACCTGAACAACTAATAAAAATGTAGCTTGACTGAAAAAATCAACATGACACCTTCCTTTTCTTTTTCTTTTTAATATTGAGACAATATATTACATCGATTCGAATCAACTCGGGTTAACCTGTCAAATATATTACTTGGATCAGGAGACCCTGATAACCCTATAAAGAGTAAATAATAAAAAATATTAAATCCAATCAACCTAATTTTAAAGGATAAAATTAAAAATAAAATTCAACTAAAAAAAATAAACTGAATCAACTCAAGTTAATCTGTCAAACCTAGATCATGAGACCAAGATAAACCCATATAAAGCAAATTATAACAAATTATGAAGATCGATTATTAATGAAGTCAATGTTTAAAGATGAAATTAAAAAGGAACATAAAAAAACACCTAAGTCAATTGACCAAACCTATGACTCGAGTTATAAAATTGAGATACCACATAAAATGTTAACAAAAATAAATTATGAAGACCAATTTCCAATCAATTAAAGGATGAAATTGAAAAAACATCAACTAAACAAAGGACAAAAAATCCTAAATCAATTGATGTAACCCGTGACCTGAGTTATAAGACCGTGATAACTTTATACAAAAAAAATAAAAAATAGTAATAATTATAAATCTCAATTCCCAATCAAATCACTGTTGAAAAATTAAATTAAATTAAATTAATAATAATAAAGGGATAAAAAATTAACCTGAGTGAACCTGAGTTAAGAGATTGAAATAACTTTATAAAAATCAAAGAAAAAAATAATATAAAATCTAATTATCAATCAATCTAATATTGAAACATCAAGTGAAAAAAATATTCAATTAAAAATAAACAAAAAAAACCTGAGTTAACTTAATTAATTTGCAAAATTCATGACTCAGTTATGAGACTTTGATAATAACCATATACAATAAATAAAAAAATAATTATGAATTTTAATTTTTTATTAAATCAATGTTAAATGTTGAAATTAAGAAAAAAAATAATTTAAAAAAATTAAAAAATAACTTAAGAAAACTTGGGTTTAGAATATTGAGATAACTCTACAAAAATCAAGCAAAAAATAATACTATAAATTTTAATTCTCAATTAACCCAAATGTTAAAACATTAAATTGAAAAAAAAATCAATAAAAAAATAAAAAAACTCGAGTCAATTTAGTTAGCCCGCAAAACTTACAACTCGAGTCATGAGATTATAATAATCTCATATAAAATAAATCAAAAAATAATTATGAATTCTAATTCCTAATTAACCTAGTGTTAAATGATGAAATTGAGAAAAAAATTAAAATTAAAATAAAAAATAATTTAAGTCAATACAATTAACTCGCAAAATTCACGAAATGTGTCATGAGACCGAGATAATTTTATAGAAAACAAATAAAAATAAATTATAAAATCTAATATCTAATAAATTCAATATTAAAAAATATAAAAATACTCTTAAAAATTACAAGAATCAAAGAAAAAACCTTTACATTAAAATTCAACGGTTGATCGCTACATTAAAATTCAAAACTTTTCTGGTATATGCTAATTAAAATAAAATTAGATCGCTATTTGAAGGTGAGGGAATACCATAATTCAATTTGTAAACATTTAAACATCAAAATAAATTAATCAATTTTCGTAAAAAATTCAATTTCCCTTCGAGCCCACCGTTTTGTCAAACTACCAAACACCATCTTCCATGTCGCACACAAGAGACAAGAGTATCTCGAAGGGCCAAATTTTAAGACGCCACTATGGCTGCTCCACGTGTCAAAATTCTGTTTTTTCATAAACTTCCTTACATCATCCTTGCCATCATTAGTTAAGCTAAGGCCACCAGCGCACGAGTCGTTTTCCAGATCTGTCCTTGGAGATCCCAGAATCCTTACGTGGCAATTTTCGTAATTCCTCTTCAGATCCTTTCCTCATTTGGTATTTTCAGCTCTTTTCACAGCGAGCCTCGAGGACCCTCTCCTTGGATCACCGAACAGACCCCTAAATTTCCTATAAATCGTGCCCTAACCCTGCCAATCCTCGATCCCATATCTTCATTCAATTCAACTTCCAAAGTCTCCAATTTTCTTTCATTTTGATTCAATTCGATCTTGTATTCTTTCAGTTCGCTCTTTTCTCTATCGAGCGAACCTACTTTTACCCCTTGCCGTGCTCTCGATTCATTTCTAGGGTTAGGGTTTTGAGATTCTCCTTGATTCTTTGATTCCGAAGTGGGTTTTGTTCGATCTTCAAGTCTAATCTTGTATATTTGAATTTCATTGCTTAAATTTATCTGGGTCAGTTTAACATCTAAAAAATTTCTGAAATTTTGAAAATTCACGGTTCTTATTAATTCTTCAACTTTATCCATTTTCTGTTTGATTCAATTGTTTTCCCTTCTGCCCCTTGTTTGTTACTTTTTTATTTTGTAAAGTTGTGCTAATACGATAATACAAACTAGGGATCTATAATTTTTTTTATTTGTGAATTAGGGTTTTTGGTAAATTCGATAATTTCAATTTCATCAATCCTGTTCAACGACCAATTTTAGAAAAGGTAAGATCGAGCCCCTCTAGCTTATTCAATATTGAATTTTTTTTTCAAGTAATAAATTTAGTTGTAGATGGTTATTTTTGATTGGTTATCACTTTCTTTTATTATAAAAATAATAATTTTATTACACTCGAATTAATAAAAAAATTGGTTTGCTAATAACATCATTAATTAATTTTAAATAAAATATTTTTCATGGCTTGTGAAATAAAAGTGTGCTAATATCAAGAAATGAAGTTCGTAGAGGGAGCGCATAATGGCTACATATAGTAGTATATGTTGGCCCTTTTTGTTAGTATGGTAGATACTAAAATTCCCATATGCTTGAAAGTCCTTAATCGCTATCCTTTTGGTAATTTGGGTAGTTTCCACTTTAGCTTCTTCTTGTTTGTTTATGTGAAAAGAATCTTACCTTTCTATCTTCAACTTTTCAGAAATGTAAGAAAATAGTAAGAAAAGTCGCCCTTCTAGGCAGCTGATGTCATAATTTTTGTGGGATAGTGTATATTTTCATTTCTAGAAAACCAGTCTGCTGTTGTGTTTTCGTGAAAGCATCTGATACTTTGAATCTTTTCTTTGTTTCTGTGTTTCTAATATGAGTGAAGATGATTCTGATTTGCAGATAAAATTAAAATGATTCACAAACGTGCTTTTTCTGATGATAATTTATATGAGTTTGCTTGTAAGCACCCCAGACAAATGGAGCGCATTGATCAGATTGCTCCTATTTTCCCATTAGACAGCGGGCACCAGAAACATCTTGTTTCAGGTAAAGGAGCTGCTGCTGGTGTCTGTTATTTACGAGTTTTTGCATTGCTTTGGACTTCGAAACTTGTTACAAAGTGGATTGTGGAGTTGTACTTTTATTCTTTTCTCCATTTCATTTAGCCTGTCCAATCTGATGATTTGATATTCAAAAAACTTAAGGATGAAATTCTGGCTTTTATGTTATGTAGATCTTGGATTGGAAATCGTTCTAATGCTGATTTGTAAGAGTATATTGGTGGACTTTTCATTATGATTGTTGTAATATGCACGCAGTGGTTCTGATATTCTGTGCAACAAATTCATTTTGCGCCTTGCATGTTTGGTTTTTTGCCTATTAGAAGTCAAAAAATTCACGAATTTTTTAGAAGATGCTAACATTCTAGTGCTACAGATCTTATAGGGATTAAAAACACAATAGTGTGTTTTGTATTCACTTTCTTGTGTTTCCATAATTACACGCCATATTTTAATTTGTTAAAGGAGTTCACTAGTTTATTAACTGATCTGCAATATGATAATGAAGGTGATGACAGTTTTAGAAAGTGTCAAGAAGTAGGGAGGTCTGGAAGTGACTTGTTCAGTGAATGTTCAAAAGGGACTAGCAAGGGATTTGAAACTGGTGATAATGGTTGTTTCCCCCACTTTTTGTGGATTGGCAATGGGATTCTTGAAGCTGATAATTTATCATTCTTCCCAGAATATTTTGATCATGGGCACCAGCGCAGGGCTTTACTTGAGCCTGAAGAGGCCTGCTCATCTCTTGATTACCCTTTTCAGAAGCAGGTTTCTGTTGGACCAGAGCATCAAGCTTATGTCCCGGAGTGGGACTCCCAGTGTTCAAGCACCTCCCTGAACCAGCTAGATGACTCTAACCTTCAAGTTGCATGTGCACATTCATCTAGCCCAGGTGTCATAATTGATGGTGGTCGCGATGAGAACCTGATGGGTACTTGTATCCTTCCCATGCCTGACTTGGAAGCATCTGCAAATTACTGCTATGAAGCCACCAATCATGACTGTGCATGCCCTGATGCAGGTTCTATCAGATGCATAAAACAACATGTCTCAGAAGCTAGGCTGAAACTTAGAGAGAACCTTGGGGAGGAGATATTCGAGGGGTTGGGGTTCTGTGATATGGGAGAGGTGGTTGCAAATAAATGGACTGATGAGGAAGAGCAAGCCTTCCATGAGGTGGTCTTATCTAACCCTGTTTCTTTGGGAAAAAATTTTTGGGACCATCTGTCAGCAACATTCCCTTCCCGAAAAAAGGAGGAGCTTGTCAGTTATTATTTCAATGTATTCATGCTCCAGAAACGTGCTGAGCAGAACAGGTTTGACCCTCTAAATATTGACAGCGATGATGACGAGTGGCAAAAAATTGAGGGTGAAACAGTAGAGGAAGATGAGGATTCTGCAGTGGAATCTCTGACTGGTCAGGATTCCTCTGCTTACTGTCAAGAGGATCGTGCTGAGAAGTTCAATGAATATGTTGAGGATGAGGATGAAGCTGTTGCTTCTAGAGATGGTGTTGATAATGTTGTTCATGGAATTGCAACTGATGCGGAGTATGAGGGAGATGTAGATGATTTTTCAGGAGCACATGTTGGGATTTACCATGGTGATTGTGTTGGTGACCTCGGACCTAAACATTTCAATGTAATTGCTGGGACCAACACAGATGATTGTGATGTTCAAGATGATTCGTGCACATCATATGAGCATCAACGAGACAACATTGATTGCTATGGTCCACTTGATATGGGAACTGATGGGAGACACTCCAGTCAAGAGTAATATTTTCACAGTAAATATTATTGATGGTTTGGTTCCCCTGCTGTTCGGCTAGACTGGATATTATCAAGGGATTGATGTTATTAGTCATTGAAACTTGAAGAAGCTGATACCTTTATTCAATGTTGATTGTTGGGAAGAGTGGTTGTCCCATGCATCCCTCCAAATTAAAGTTGGTTCTAGTAGGCATCAATATTCAAGAGTCTGGTAGGTCATCAGTTTCCAGGACTGGCCTTTCAAGGTTCATGTGGCTCAATTAAGAAGCATTTCAGATAGACAATTACTAGTAATACTACTGCAAAATCCAATTTTGCTTGCAAAATTTTGAATATGTTGGTGGAAGGGCATTTTGCAAGATGCAAGTACTTTTATAGGGCGTGGTTGATGATCTTGAGTGAGCCAATGGAATAATCGTGGTAATATGCAGAGCTATGGGTGCGCGATTTGTTCAGCTGTTTAGCGTGACTTGAATCATGTTTCTCTTTATCTCTGCGTGATCAATCTCATGGTAATTATCTTGCAGTTTAATCAACCCTCTGTAAGGCCACTTGGACCAACATCTAAATTGAATGGTGTCGTCAAGGCATTTTATTTTATCTTCTTTGGTTCCTCCTCCATGCTTGGCCTTTTTTTTCCCCTTCAAATGTTCCCGGTGATGGTTTTTATGTTATTAATGTTTCTGTTAATGTTGCTTGTGTTTCCTGCCCCCATGAATTTTGTAGATGCTTTAGGGTTAGCTTTGTAAGAGTGACCTCCATGTCAGCATAACGATATTCCCCACAGTAAGATTGAGTGCTATTCACTGTTTTCTCGGCAAACAGCCTCACTAGCTCTCTCCCCTTGACTGTGTGCATGCATTTATGTGAGTCTATTTATTTCGGTTTATGTAATTGCAGTTTCCTGGACTTGGAAGCGATCGTACTTGTTTTCCTGCAACTTGGTCATCAATGAACAATTTTGCTGTTTTCACAGCATTCATGGTTAATTATTTTTGGTTAAATCTCAGACCTGTTTTTCTCACAACCTCCATTTAAGAATGGTTGCATGAAATTTCATCTGCCGTACCTCTCCTTCATTCCATTGGAACTCTTGGGGTCTGTCACAGGCGCAGGAAGCTGTGTATAAACTTGTTATAATTCCACCTTCTAGCAGAAGTGCACAGGAACTCTAAATTGGCTGTTTCGTTAAGTTATTGTAGTTGGATTGTTCTGATACTGATGACAGCAACCGGTGCATGGCAGAGCTGTGTGTTTCCAGTTTATAAATGTAGTTTTTGTTTCATGGAAAACTGCATGGATAGATTAACAAAATAATAATAATGTAATTCTGACTCCGATTTAACTGTGGATGGGGCAAAACCCAAAAAGACGTTGAGATTCGAGCGCAATATAAGAATTCTTTGAGAAAAGATGGCCATGGAAATGTTTGGAGAACTGTAGTTCTGGCAACTTGTTCAAATGGGGTGGAAGCCCAGCAGCCATTGCATCAGTAGATTGTTACTAAACTAGAAGCATTCAAGCTGAAAAAACGTTAAATCTGTGGTCTCATCATCAAAATAGAAAGCAAGGTATGAGATGGACAGCACTCGAATCCAATTTACTGCTGGGGTGTTGACGAAGCATTGAATCTATAAAGTTGCTTGCCAAAACAGGCATCACGGGCTATTATCTAATAAACAAGCAAAAAGAAGCGGGGGTGGAATTCAACTCCAATCAAACAGCATCTGCATCTTGCACTGAAGTGCCTCTCTGTAAACTGGACTGAAGATATAAAATTGTTACTGCTCAAGGAGCATGGTGCCACATCTCGGAACTTAATTCTGGCAAAAGAAAAGAGATTGTTAATTTCTAAACCAACCTTTCATGGATTGTTTATTAATATTTGCAGCTCCAATAATTAAGTACAAAGTCATGGTTTTTCCTCTTCATTTTTTTTAAAGGGCAAGAGCAAGTTTTTTAAGCTTTTCAATAATGGCTCACATTCAAAATTGGGATGCTCTTTCCTGTCCTTCCTTCAAGTATCTAAACAGAGATGATACCCTTTTCGATTCCTAAATTTGTAATTAGCAATTGTCTATACCTGTATACCAATTCATATCCGCACCTATTATGAGAAGATAAAAGCGTTCCTTGCCAGCTTAGAGGTGGTCTGGCTGGCAGAGGAAGTCTGGTGGTGCTTGGTGCTGGTGCGGAGGGGCTGGTGGTGGAGAGGAGTCGAACGCGATCGAAGACAGTAGAGGTTGATCAAGAGATGAAGGAGATTGAGTTAGTCAACTAGCTCAAATAGACCAGAATCTGGTAAAAATGGTAAAAAGCACAAAGTAGAAACACATGGCATGGTGAATTCACATAATCTGTGCAAGCCTGAGATAGTTCATGCATCAACAATAACCCAAGTATTGGATCTGATCCATGTTGGCCAGCCTGCTGACATAGGTTTTTCCCATTGTCTCTTATTTCCATTTGAGCTTAAATTAATTCAGTGGCCACTTCTATTAACTGTGGTCCGTAATCTCAGATCTCTAAAGATACTAAATCATCTGAGTTGAAGATTTTTTTATTCTAATTGTTGCCAAACTTCTTTTTAAATAGATTAAATTAAGAGAGGAACTGGTGGCTTGGATGTATTGGGATAACCCAGTGATTAGTTGATCAAATACTCGAGTATAGGGATGAAAAAAAATCGATTAAATTAAGAAAATTGAAAAATAAATAATTAAAAAATTAAACTGTAAATAAAAAATTTGATTAATTTTTTTTTAAACCAAGCCAAACCAGAAAAAATCAAGTTGATCGGTCTGAACTGGTTGTTTTATAAAAACCAAAACTAATTGGTTTGAATCGGTTTTGATTTAATTTTATTTTTTTATAAACTGATTTTAGTTATTTTTTTTAATAAAAACTAAACCAAATAAAAACTAATCATTCTACTAGAATAGAATAAGAGAAAATTTAGTATTTTCACTAAATTGATTTTTTTAATCTCTTAGAGCTGATTTTTTATTATGCTTTCTATTAACAACTTGATTAAAATTACACATTATTGAAGATCATGTGTAATTCTATTTAATGAAAAATAGTTTTTTTTTTATATTATGACAAATAATAATTAAAAAATTGAGATAAACTGAAAGGTATATATCAAGTAAATTAAAATTGACTCTTGAATGATTTCAAGTGTTTCAAATCACAACTTTTTTAAAAGTGTGATATTATTTTTTTTTATAATATTTTTTATTTATAAATATGTTAAAATAATATTTTTTTATTTTTAATATCAAAACAGTTTAAAAACATTAAAAAAAATAATTAGCCAGCCTCTCTGTTTGGACAGCAATCTCAAACTGTCTTTTAATTACACTTTAGGATCAGTTTAGATAACAATCCCAATTTCTTCTCCATTCTTCAACCAAAAAACTACAGCCAGATTGACCTGTGAATCCAAAAGGTCTTGGATACCGTTTAGTTTGATTATAAGAGCTTAATCCACTTTCCAAGTTGAGAAAGTAGGAAGCTTATTAGAGAAGCAAGCCTTGCATAACAAGACAATGCCACCAAGAAACGGTGAGTCTATCGTTTCATGATGTACCTCCTCAGATAAAAACAATTGCTGCGATGGGACAATCCTAGTCTATGGGTGCAGCAGAAGGGCAGGTGGATTTTATCTAAAAATAAAATGGGAAGTGGTTTAATAAATACTAATACCATAACATGAATCGAAAAGCAACTCTGACAATTTACTTCAATCACAAGCAATCACATGATCAAATCCCAAATCATTTTGTGGCCAAAATTGTCCCTATCCAATGCAAGCGAGTACAGTTTTATGCGGATTTTAAGCTCACCAGCGAGTATGACTCCATTCCTATAACTTGGCTTCCTTTCCATGCAAGGGTTTCTCTCCTTGTAAATACTTACAAGGTCATTATATTAGAGAGAGGGAGAGAGGGAGAGAGGGAGAGAGGCTTCCTTTTGTTTTTCTGTGGCTTCTTTGTGCATTTTGGCATTTTCAAAGCAGAGTCATAAAACCCATCACTTTCACTTCAATTTCTCTCTCGCATTGCATATGCTTGCAAAGAAACTACTCCACCAGAGAGGCAGAGCAATAGAACAGGGGCAAGGGATCACTCTTTGTATGGGCTTTTTAACTTTTCTTAATTGGCTTGATTAGATCACAAAAACCCACGCCGTCCCCTCTTTTATCCCTTCTAAAACCAAGACTTCACAAAACTAGGCTCTAAATTTAGGTTCTTTTTCATCTGGGTTTCGTTGACTCCTCTGTTATTCCCCAACTTTCTGGTGTGTTTGTTTCCCTGATTGTCAAAGAAGTATCTTTTGCCATTTTTCTTGAGAAATTTGAGGTTTTGCTTGGTTTCTGATCTGGGGTTTCTTTTGTTTGCACAAATGAAGAAGAATCAAGAAAAGGTGCACGTATGCAAGTTATGCAAGAAGAGTTTCTTGACCGGGAAAATGTTGGGTGGTCACATGAAGATTCATGGAGCTAGAAAATCAATTAAAGAATATGTCAAGTTTGAAAGCAACAACATGGGTTCTGAATGTCACGGCCTAAGAGAACAGCCCAAGAAATCTTGGAAATTCTCAGGCTTGAATCATGATGGTAGTGTTTCAATGCAAGAAACAGCGAAATGTAGAGTCTGTGGCAAAGAATTTGGGTCGCCAAAATCCCTCCATGGCCACATGAGGCATCACTCTGCTAAAGAAAGGAAAGGAGTTTACTGTGAAGAATGTGGCAGAGGGTTTCTGTCATTGAAATCTCTAAGCAATCACATGAGGCTGCATCATAAGAAGTTGAGGGTCTCAAGTTCAGGGCCTAATCTGGTTGTTATGGCCTTATCTGCTACTGAGACTGTGAATCTTGTGAGAAGAAAGCGATCTAGCAGAATGAGATGCAAGATTACTCCCAATTCTTCTTTTTCTAGATCGAATGAATCTGTATCTGGTTTTGATATTGAGCAAGAAGCTGAGGAGGTGGCTATCACATTGATTATGATGTCTAGGGGTGAATGTAATGGGTTTGATTCGTTGTGTCAAAGTAAGCGAATTAAGAGAGGTGAGGGTTATCATGGTTTTGATGGTAATGGATTTGTAAGGCCAAAGAAAACCGGAGAGTATTATTTAGATTCTTGTGATTTGGATTGTAAAATTAGTATATCTAGTGGTGCGGCAAATCAAGTTAGATTGGAAGTTCCCATGGAGAGTTTTCATAAGGATGTTGAATCCAAGAGCCCTCAATTGGATGACGAATCAGTTGAATTCTGTGGTAATGAGATAGAGAAGGGAGGTCACGGTGAATTGATTACCAGTTGCACTGTAGCTGAATCAAGTCTAGATCTGATGGGAGGAGTTGGATTGGACGCTGCTCGTTTGGGATTTCAGAAATCTATTCCAATCAAGCAAGCAAGCTTTGATGCTTCTGATGCGGAGATGGGACAGGATGCTCGCCTTCAGATGGTAGTAACTACAGATTCTGATATCACGGAAAGTCCGAGCAAAAAAGGTAATTTCAGGTGCAGAATCTGCAATAGAAACTTCATCAGTTATCAGTCACTTGGGGGTCATCAAACATTCCATAGAAAGAGCTCCATAGGGTTGAAGACTGATAGCTGCAAAAGGGATATCCAGGCTATTTTTTCTCCTGAAACTAAGGCTACAGGAAAACTTGTCAAGATTGACTGTATTCAGGAATCAGTGAAGCAGGAAACTGATGGAGTCATTGTAAAAGATTGCGAGTCAAAGGAGGGTAAGGAGCACAAATGCCCAATCTGCTTTAAAGTTTTTCTTTCCGGCCAAGCTTTGGGAGGTCACAAAAGGGCTCATTTTCCTAAGGCCAGAGAAGAACAGAACATTGCAGTGAACCGAGAGGTTTCTGATATCTGTAATGTTTTCACTATTAATGTCCCATACACAGCTGCTCCAGAGGTCAGTAATGATGTTCGGTGCGAGTCATGGTGGCCTGCCAATTCCCACAAGCATGAGCCACTGGTGGTGGGTCTTATAGCCAACTAAGATGCGTAATGATGCCTATACCTTCCTTCTTAAGAGTTTCAAGAATGTAGAGACAGGATGGTGCATTTCATTTCTGGTTCAAGGATAGTTCATTCAGAGGTAGATTCTCTTAGCTACTGTCGCTTAGAAAGTCTCAATTGCACAAACGTGGTTTTTGCTTCCTTTTCCTTATAATTTCATCTATGAACAGAAGAGGCTTCATTGTTGAGAATCTGAAGCTCATTGGCCAATTCTCTACGGAATTTTGAGTGGTGTAGGAGGACTTGTTTTGCTTCCTTTTCATTGTTGTTTTCGTACTAGTATGCCAATCGGAACAGATGAACAGAAACGTTATTGTTGATCTAGACCGATTTCCCAATTTTTGTCTACCATTCTTTTGTAGTAATGGAGAACAGAAAGCAGTTCTAGAAGCATAAAATCTCAGTAGTTTGGTTTACATACAGTTTTCAAGATTGGTTGGGAATCATTAACATGTGGAATTGCGAGAGATGAGAGGTTGGTGGCCGTCAGACAATTTAAAATTTTGTGCAGCATATGGCATCAGAGCAAAAGGTAGTTCAGTCACCTAACATATACACATGACATATTACCTCAATCTGCATCATATTTTATAATCAATTTTCTCTTAGTTGTGATCTAAAAGAAAACTTATGCATTTCATATTCTTCACTTCTCAACATTTAAAGAGGCTCCTTATAATCTTATGCTAGCAGCTCGGCTAAGAGGAAGGCCAATAGTTCCTGCAACTTATAGGATCAAGCTGCTGCTAACAATTAGCTCATGTTGGGTATTAGCTTTTCTACGATGGAAAGCAATATAAAAACATTTTTAAGACCTTACCTCGTATCTTAATTTTTTTAACTAATTAAATTAATAAAATTAAGCACAAGGGACTTATATAAGTTTAAAGAGCTTTTATTTAAAAAAATATATTAAAGAGTAATATAAAATTATTCTTAGATCTCATTTCATACCTTAAGCTTTTGAAAATTAAGCACAAAAAATATATTACAGAGTAATATAATGCCACTTTTAAAATCTTACTCGATAATTGAAACTTGTTAGGATTGCCTTTGCAAACAAGGCATAATCTAGTTCAAACATTGTCGTGTCCCTCATGAACAAGAGCCAAGCTTGAAGGCCAACAAGCTGCTTTGAGTCTCTTTAGGCTTGAAGCACAGGTTGCTTTCATGCAACTGAAAAATGCCATGTTAAGAAACTTCACTTGTAGAGCAATGATGGAGAGAAGCAAGCAGCCCTATTGCTCCACAGCACCTTCTGGATTGATGTTGTGTGACAGTTTCATCTAAGCTGAGGCCTTGTATTGTCAAAAGTTTGTTTATGTAAGAAATGAGAAACACTTTGACAAGAAATCTAATGTGGATAAAGAGGTTGAGTAAATGCAATTAAGAATTGGCGTTGGCAGAAGTATGATTATGGAACCAATAATCAGACTTCGGCCACCTTTGCAGCCATTTCTATTTTGGATTTTCTGCTTTCGTTTTCTTTCTCTTTTTCAGAAAACCAAGAACAGAAAATGAAAACTAAAACACATAATTGATTGCATATTTATGTTTTTTTTTTTCCGAGATAAGATAATTATAAATTCTATAAATTAAGACTTGTACTCTTAATAAATTATGTTTTCAATTATGAGTAATATAAGAGTTGATGGCGTGGCATTTAGGTTGATATATACCAGAACCTTCCCAAGTCAAGAATGCTCTTGTGGTGAATGTTCTGTTCTGCAACATGGGAGTAAATTTGTCCATGAATTCACTGTGAATTTGAGGGGAAAAGGAAAAAGAACTTGTGAATCTTTCTCTTAGTTACTGATAATGGCTAGGTTATTTGATAGTTTCATAAAATTTCTTGGTAGCCTGGTGCTTTTGACAATCAAGAAACATCAACTTAACATTCTTTCCAATGTCGACGGAATAAAAAATATCGACAGAATAGAAAACTTAAACGAGAAAATTTCTGATAATAATATTTCATAATCTATCATGTTGGCATTGAAAAATACCGACGGATCTTTATTATATATCGACAGAATATTTTATCAGCACTTTTCATTTTCAAACAGTGATTAAATAGATTTCTCTAGAAAATATTTTATCCATAACAATTTCATTTTAATTCTATCCTTTTTCTATAGTGACATAATCATTCGAAATCTCTTCATTCTTAGTGTTACTCTTCACTATTTTGAAAAGCCTAATTCACTACAATTATTGTTTCTTCGAATATGTCCGCTTCTTTACTTTTTTGTCTCATTACCTTGAATCTTCCTGCCTTTTCTTTTCTTTCTTGGATTTCTTTTTATCTTCCAAACCGATAGACCTGCCATGCTTGTTTTTGTCTCTTTTGGTGCTATTGTAAGCGCAATTGAAAGGAGATGTAGAGCAGACAATCAAGAAACTTGGATGAACAAGTAAGAGTGAAGCATCATTATTGATGCAATTTCCTTGTATTTCAGGCAGTGAACAGTTGTTTGTGGAAGGTTTTCAAAATCTCCTCCAAATGGATTTGGTTGTAACGTGCAAGAAAAGGCAACAAACCATACCAAAAGAAAGATAATAACATCAACGTAATAATCTTTCCAATGTCTACGGGAAAGAAAACTCCGAAGATAAAGTTTTTAACGGTAGTATTCCATCACCTATTTTGTTGATATTAAGAAATACCGGCGGGATCTTTATTATATGCTGACGGAATATTTTGTCAGCATTTTTTAATTTTTCATGCAGTGATTGAATAGATTTCTCAAGGCTTTTAGCTTTTTCTTTCTTGGATTTTGTTTATATTTGAAACCGATAGACCTACCATGCTTGTTCTTGTCTCTTTTGGTGTCAATAAATCCATTTGCAGACTGATTTGCAACCCTTTACAGATGAGTATTCTTCTGAACTCTTCCTGTTAACATTGATCTGTATGGTGATAAAAACAGAGGAGTCAGAGAGATGCATTCCATCCAAATTTCTTGTTCTCTCAACATTTGTCTTTCTCGGAGTATTGTTTACCCAGATTGACAATCGATGAAATGCGCTGTAAGAACAATTATAGTCAATTGTTTAAGATATTTAATAATTGAAGAAGATTCAAATCCAACATAAATTCCTAGTCTCCTTTGTTGACCCATTTTTGTGCGTCCCTGGGGGGCAATTGAAATATATATTTGGTTCTTGATCGAGAATTAATATATTGGGTCCCACAATTTTTTTTTTATAAAAACATATATTTTCCTTTTTTATTCAAGAAATCTAAAAAAATCAGAAATTTAAAATCCAAAAATATTTTTAATAAATACACAAGTGGATCAACTCCTGAGATGCAATAGATCAAAACACCATAATAATAATGAGATTGATGTATTATTGACAAGATGTGCTAGAGAAAGACTTAATGTAAAGAAAATTAAGTTTGGAAGTTATTTTGACCAACATTAGAAGAATTAAGTAAGTTCAAGGGCTCAATTGAACTTATAATAGGCTTAATTGAAGCAAAATTGAGTTTGAAAGTCAATTAGATCAAAATTAAAAGAATTAATTAAATTTAAAGGTTTAATTAAACTTCTAATAGGTATATTTAACTTATTTAAGGATTAATTAAAAGAAATTTAAGGTTGAAATCCAACTTGACCAATATTGAAGAATTAATTAAATTTAAGGGCTTATTTAAACTTCTAACGGGTTGAATTGACTTAATTAAAAACTTAATTAAAATAAAAATTAAGTTTGAAAATTGTTTTGGCTAAAATTAAAAGAATTAATTATGTTCAAGGACTTAATTAAACTTCTAATGGGTTTTGTTGACCTATTTGAAGAAAAACAAGTTTAAAGGCCTAATTTGGATCAAGTTGCAAAAGTTGGAAGATCAATGACCTATTTTAACCTTAGGAATCATAGTTTAATGCAATCAAGAATTTAATTAAAAGAAATTTAAAGGTTGAAGATTAATTAATTATTTAATTGAAAGAATTCAAAATTAAAGATCAAGGCGCAAAAGGTACATGCATTCAAAGACTAAAATTGATCAAATCAGAGGTCAATTTGAAACAAATTAAAAGTTTGAAAGTTAATAAAAGTTAATTTCATAATTGAGAAACCAAGGATTGAGTTGTCAAAGGCACACAATTTAAAGGATTTTAACCAATGTTTACAAGGATGCAATTGCAACAATTGAAGTTTTTGATTTAATTAGGGATATAAATGTTGAAACTAGAAGAATATGGGCAAATTTGAAAATTTAAAAAGCCTAGTAAAAAAACCCTAATTTTTAGGGTTTAGTAATGAATTACCACTCAAATTTAAATGAAGAAATTAGGTGATGTGTCATTTGGTCACTATTTTTCTTTTTCTTTAGTCAAGAAAGGTGATCGAGCGACCATCTTCAGATGAATAAATGTGATATCTCCTCTACATATTTCAGGTCTATCAATAACATTTTTATATTCAGTTTCTATAATGAATTCACCAAAGCACTCTATTCGGATAGCCTCAACTAAAGAAAAAATTCACCCATAAAAAAACAAACTTTAAGATTGTTTTTTCAAGCTAGGACTCGATTCACAAAGTGACAAAGGAGAGACCAAGCACCACCATAACTTTCAGGAAAAAGGTTTTAGAAAATAAAAAAAGAATAATAATCTTTCATAACCACCTACCTTTTATAAAAACACCATGGTTTTGTAACTTCTTAGTTTATCTTTACTTATAAAAGAGAGGTGTTTTGCAAAAAAAAAAGGGGTTAATGAGAGAAGGAAAAGCATGGAAAAATTGAGATAAAAATTCTTGAGACGATTGAGAAAAAAATACAAAAAAATAATGTGCAAAGTTGAGAGAAAAAAAGAGAAAAGAAGAAGGGCATAAAACCAACATTTACGAGCAAAGGAAAAGATGAAAGAAACAATAAAATCTAGTAAAGGAAGGTTGCATCGGTGTAAAAGATATATTTTAAACTTTGATAAAAAGGTATAATTTAATGGGCACACCCCTCCTTTGATCTTTATTAAGTTCATTTTTTATTGTTAGTTCTTCATATTATTAGTTTCTCTTTCATTTTAGAAGCAACATACATTGTAGATTACTAAATTCATGGTTCGCATGATATCATGAGCTGACACAATTTTTTTTATCTAAAAAAATGTTTAGGAAACAATTATATTTTTAAAGAAGTGAGAGAAATTCTATAATTGGGTTAAATCTTGATTAATTTGATAATATAATTAAAAAAATAAAACAACAAAAAAAATTAAAAAAATATTGCCCCTAGACAAATTTGGGATAGCATATGAAACATGTGATTAAAATAACTCTATAAAAGTATAATACCATAAAAAATCAATTGTGAAAAAGGATCTAGAAAAAAAAATCAATGTCAAACGATGATATTAAAAAAAAATAAAAAAAATGATGTCAACTCTTAGTAACTTTTTAAACTTGTGACTCGAGTCATCAAACTAAAGGCACTATATATGAAAAAAATTATAAAACTCAATCTCTATAAAATAAAACGTTGAAGGATTAAATAAAATAATTAAACAAAAAAAAATAATATTCTATAAACTTGGATTGAATAGTAAAATTAAAATTAATAAAACTTTTATAAAAAGATAAAAAAATCCAAAGAATAAGGATCAAGTTGAAAACATCACTGCATAATAAAAAATTGAACACGTAGAATTTTTTAACATGTTTTTTAATATAAAAAAAATTTAAATATAAATTGAAAAATTTGTGCATGCCTCTAATTAAATAAATCAAGAACTATTGCATAATGAAATGAAAAAAAAGTCATCCAAAATAAATAAAATTAAAATAAAATATAAAAAGTAAATGAAGATATTTAATATCATAAAAACATGTTATTTATCTTATTGTGTTTATTGTGTTTGATGAAATTGTTTATTAAAATTAATTTGTAATAAAAATCGATACACATAAAATTTATTAAAAAGAATTAAAAGAAAATTATTATGTAAGACTGTATATATTAAAAAATAAAAAAAAATGATATATATATATATATATATATATATATATATATAGAATTTAAAAACAATAAGAATTAAGAGCTATAGGTAGAGATTATGAATTCAAATAATAGGACCATATATTTTCTTTATCTAAATAACATTCAAATACACATGTACATATGTCATTCATGCATTCTCATATTTTCTTAACATTTTCATTATTAAAATGAAAAGTCACAAAGAAAATATTATTGCAAGACATCAAATAATAAATGCATATAAATTATATAAAATATTATTTACGAATAAAGCCTCTTCGAGAGGCTAAGAAGAAATAATATATATTTATCTTTTTCAAGAGATAAAAGAAATTATATAAACTCATCCTCTTCCATAGATTAAAAATCATAAGAATTTATCTTTCATGAGATCAAATCATAACCTTTTCTAAGGATTTTTTTTATTAACTCCACTATCTTTTCATAATTTCATTATCTTCCAAAACTCTATAATCATATATGTTTTGATTTAATAAATAAAAATAAAATGTATATTTACAGATGATTTAGAATGAAAAATGGAGAAAAATTTCATGCCTTGATATGATTTGACTGTGATAATGTTATATAAAATTAAAAAATAAATAAAAATAAGAAAATCTTGCAACCATCAGATTAAAATGATCTTTTATATTAATATGATCTTTTATTTTAATCTATTTATAAGAAAGAGAAATGAATGAATAGAAGAAAATAAAATCAATATGCATTTCATAATATATTAATAACAATAGTATTTTTTTTCTCCTATATACCATAGTTTTTAAACTAAAGAGACAGTTTGTAATCAAGTTACCAAACAATTTGTGATCAATTCTTAATTTTTTAGATAAAATAATATTATTTTTATTAAAATAAATAAATAAATAATAGTTCTAGATTTAACTAGGTTAATGGATTAACTTGAGTTTTTCATCAATTTTTTTTTAATTTTTATTTTTTTATAAATTTAATTTGATTCCAGAAAAGCATGTATATCTTTATAGAGCAGATATATAAGTGGAAAAAGAAATCAAATTCAACCATTTTCTTTTAAATTACAGCAGATATATAAACGGAAAAAAAATAATCAAATTCAACCATTTTCTTTTAAATTTTAGGGCAAAAGTAATTCTTGAAAACCAATTGTTGTCCTGTTATTTTTATTTTTTTTCCATCAAAAGATTCATACATGTCTTGACACAAAATAAAAACACCACAAACTCATAAAATTCCCATGGAGTACGCAGCAGCAGCATATCCTCAAATGCATCAAAATCAAAATGCAAACCCTAACCCACCGCAGCCACAGCCACAACCACAACCACACCCAATCTCTACTTCTTTATACTCTTCTTATTACTATCCTCCTGCTGCTGCTGCTGATCCCCAAAACCAGCACATTACTACTCAATTCTACACCGCTGACCCCACTACCAGTCTTACGCCTCCTGGGGTTGACTCCTACACTAACTACCCACATCTTGCCTACTGTTTCGATCCCAATTCCAATACTTGGGTTGCTAAGGAAGCTGTTCGGCAATATGGGTCTGCTCCTGCTTCCTTTCCTGCTCCTGTTGTAAGTGGTCGGTCCTCTGTTTTTCACTTTTTTTTTTCCGGGGTATCTTTTTTATTGCTATATTCCTTGTGAATTATTGAGTGTTTATCAGGATTTAAATTTTGTGCTTTTATTTGTGAATTGTGGGCTTTGGTATTTTTGTGGAGATTTGTAGAGGGTTTTTTGATTGCTGAGAAAATATGGCAAATGGGAAAAAATTCTAGAATTTTGTGAACTAGAAAAGAGTGTCGTTTGGCTTCTGACATTATGTTGGAAACTGAAATAAAACTAGAGTTGTGAATATAACAAAGGCAACCAAATTCATAGAAAGAGAAAGCTTTGATTTGTTTCTTCCAGTATTAATAGTAAATGTGAAATTTTAAGTTTTGGTGTGATTTGATAATGAGTGCACCAGAGGGAGAAATCAAAGTGTTGTTGACAAAGTGATCACGTCTGAGAATTGGCGTGGTGATTTTTTCTTGATTATGGTGATATTGTTGTATTCGAAAAAGAAAACTAGATTGGAAAATTACTTGCATCTGCAGAAGATTACGCTTGTTGAGGCTCTAGAAATTCTCAGTAATAATCTTTTAGTTGGAGGACTTCCCTTTTTATACACAACTTTGTCCTCAAACCATTTCACCAACCTTCTTGCCTTGACCCAGCAAGCTTGATTATGGAGGATTTATTGATTTAACTTTTCAAGCCGTCCAAATTGTTGGGCTAGTGATAAGTTCCATATGGATGCGTGATTTATCCTTTCAACTATCCTGCTACAGATCGGATTGTCTATTTGTGGATGCAAGGTTATGAGTTTGTTTGAAAGTGATTTTGTTATGGGACCCACTATGCATGCCAAGAAAAAAAGTACATTTTTTACAACACATGTTCCTCCATTGCTTGGATTAATATTGTCCAGATTCTAGAGCTTTTCAGTTTACTGTTGATGCTCCCCCCGCTTCTCTGGTAGCTTATTTTACACTAAGAGTGGCATGTTGTAATATGACTTTCACAGTCAACTGTCATCCAACGAGTTGCGTGTATTTTTTTTTTTTCTAATGTTGTAGAATGCCAATGTAAATGTCTCATAATGAATGGTTACTGCACATATACATCCTGAAGAATTTTTTTTTAACTCTAAACTTCCAAACGGTGAAGCCATATATTGTGCACCATGCTTAGTGTATCAAATAACAAAAGGAATAATACTAAATATTCTTGAATTTTAATAAAATTTTGCTTACTAAATGACATGGAAGCTTGTGATTGGAGTTTATTGTTCCATTCCATCATTGGATTCATATCACTAAATGTGATAATATCCCACATTCCATGGTTTGTATTCCACATTCCATGGTTTAAACAGCTTTCTTGCATAATGAATGCCATACCATTTAGTAAACTAGTCTTAGGAAGAATGTTCAAGTAGTCTTAGCACTAACCAGGCTAAATTAACTGTAGAAGGAAGGGGTTTGAGATCAAGTTTGTCCTATAATAGTTAGCTTTGACTATATTAGTGAGGCTACACTTATTGAATGAACTATGGTTTTTTATGCCATCCCTTGAAATAATTTTCCGTATTGATGTTGTTTAGCATGTGTTAGAGGGAAGTACTTTTTTACTCATGTAAGTAGTGTATTGTAAAGGACTATTTAATACAGTTACTCTCAATGCTAAAGCTGCGAGGCAACCGCATGTTACTCATGCTGCTGCTACTCTTCCAGTTATATTAATTTTACAATGAGTAATGTTTAAGGTGTGCTCGTGTTGAAATTGAGCACTAGATTGGTGGTTGTTGAATACCTTGGCAGGATATTCTGATGCAAATCCCTAGTTTCTCTTACAGAAAAAAGGACGAAGTTATCTTTGGCATAGGCAACTTAATTTACACTAAGAGTGGCATATTGTAATATGACTTTCACGGTCAACTGTTATCCCAACAAGTTGCATGTATTTATTTTTTCCTAATGTTGTAGAATGCCAATGTAAATGTCTCATGAATGGTTACTGCACATATACATCCTGAAGTTTTTTTTAACTCTGAACTCCCAAACAGTGAAGCCATATATTGTGCACCATGCTCAGTGTATCAAATAATAAAAGGAATAATGCTAGATATTCCCGAATTTTAATAAAATTTTGCTTACTAAATGACATGGAAGCTTGTGATTGGAGTTTATTGTTCCATTCCATCATTGGAGTCATATCACTAAATGTGATAATATTCCACATTCCATGGTTTGAACAGCTTTCTTGCATAATGAATGCCGTACTATTTAGGAAACTAGTCTTAGGAAGAATGTTCAAGTAGTCTTGGCACTAACCAGGCTAAATTAACCATAGAAGGAAGGGGTTTGAGATCAAGTTTGTCCTATAATAGTTAACTTTGACTATATTAGTGAGGCTAGACTCATTGAATGGACTATGGTTTTCTTCTGCCATCCCTTGAAATAATTTTCTGTATTGATGTTGTTTAGCATGTGTTAGAGGGAAGTACTTTTTTACTCATGTAAGTAGTGTATTATTGTAAAGGACTATTTAATACAGTTACTCTCAACGCTAAAGTTGCGAGGCAACGGCATGTTACTGATGCTGCAACTACTCTTCCAGTTATATTAATTTTACAGTGAGTAATGTTTAAGGTGTGCTCATGTTGAAATTGAGCACTAGATTGGTGACTGTTGAATACCTTGGCAGGATATTCCGATGCAAATCCCTAGTTTCTCTTATTGAAAAAAGGACGAAGTTATCTTTGGCATATTGGTCCTCTTTTTTTCACTTTTTTTCTGGGTTATTTTTTATTGCTATATTCCTTGTGAATTATTGAGTGTTTATCAGGATTTAAAGTTTGTGCTTATATTTGTGAATTGTGGGCTTTGGTAATTTTGTGGAGATTTGTAGAGGGTTTTTTGATTGCTGAGAAAATATGGCAAATGGGAAAAAATTCTAGAATTTTGTGAACTAGAAAAGAGTGTCGTTTGGCTTCTGACATTATGTTGGAAACTGAAATAAAACTAGAGTTGTGAATATAACAAAGGCAACCAAATTCATAGAAAGAGAAAGCTTTGATTTGTTTCTTCCAGTATTAATAGTAAATGTGAAATTTTAAGTTTTGGTGTGATTTGATAATGAGTGCACCAGAGGAAGAAATCAAAGTATTGTTGACAAAGTGATCATGTCTGAGAATTGGCGTAGTGATTTCGTCTTGATTATGGTGATATTATTGTATTCGAAAAAGAAAGCTAGATTGGAAAATTACTTGCATCTGCAGAAGATTACGCTTGTTGAGGCTCTAGAAATTCTCAGTAATAATCTTTTAGTTGGAGGACTTCCCTTTTTATACACAACTTTGTCCTCAAACCATTTCACCAACCTTCTTGCCTTGACCCAGCAAGCTTGGGCTTGTCTATTTGTGGATGCAAGGTTATGAGTTTGTTTGAAAGTGATTTTGTTATGGGACCCACTTTGCATGCCAAGAAAAGAAGTACATTTGTTACAACACATGCTCCTCCATTACTTGGATTAATATTGTCCAGATTCTAGAGCTTTTCAGTTTACTGTTGATGCCCCCCCCCCCCCCCCCC